TTATGACCCAGAGAGTTGGTGCAATGATCAGATTTTCTGTAATCAGGTTATTACATTTTCGTGCCACCAGATTATACCCAAACAGGATTATATTTGGTAGTTTTTCTTGTTTGGGGAGCCGATTTATAGGGATTCAGTTTGAGACTTGAAAACGAAACTTTGGAGGGATTCATTGGCTTCTTTGTTGTGTGACGATGCTGCAAAACCACATCGTTTCCAGCTCAGAGCGTCTGGTTCAGGATGAACAAAAACTGTGTGATGAGGGTAGAATTTTTTTGTAGAAGAGAGTGAGATGCATTTGAAATTTAAAAAAAAGAAGTTTGGATTATTTGGACCGGGTGATTTTGGTAGATTTTTTCACTTATTGTCTTTACCGATGGTCTCATTTACAGCCACAAAGCCTCTGGTTTTATGTGACATTGTTAAGTTTTGTGGCTGGGTTGCCTCCACATGCTGCACAAATCTTAACCAAATTTCAAGAAAAATGTGAGTTAAATGCACAGCAGTTGGCGCTGATTCTCCATTCACTGCTATTAAACCACTGCAGAAGAAGCCACGTTTGAAGCCTCTGCCATATCTGAAGTTTTTTTAAGCGCATACTAAAAGTTCTGCATTTTATTTTCAATTCATCGCAGTATAAACAGTTGATCTTTCTGAAGCCATCGTGCTGCAAGATTTGACCCGTGTTTATTCCTAAAACCGGTCTTAATTTCCACAATGACACACTGAGAAGACGTTTATTCAAGGAACATGTTAATTGTCCTCATCCAGAATCAGACAGTCAGCTGAGAGGAGCGCCGTGGAGCATGCTCAGTTTGTGACCTGGTCTGATGCATGTTCACCTTCCTGTCTGCTGGTTTGTTTGTTTGTTTGTTTGTCTAGTTGTTTGTCAGCTGAGCTAGCGGTTTGCTCCAGGGCACCTCGGCAGCAGCAGCAGCAGCAGGTTCTGCAGGAGATTCAAACTTGATCCTTTCAGTCAGGCTCATTCAGATCCAGCTCCTCACTTGTGACAATTTGCTGCTTCCAAAATGATTTTTCACTTAGAAGCGCTCAAGCTTTCTGCCCCAAAATACACTGATAAAAATCTTGCTTATGAATGTCATGTTGGTGATTTTTTTTCCCCTTTTTCTCAAGAGATCATGTTTTTCAAACCTGCAGGTGGGTTTTGGGGTTAAAAGGGTTAAACTCTGAGAAAGAAAATTAGATTTCCACGTGAAGCTCACTTAAATACGCTTTCCACTGTGCAGGAGACTTTTGCAGAATATTTAAAAACACTCTTGAAAGAAAGGTGATATCAGTTTTACAACATTGTTTTTCTTAAGCCCGGTTGGCTGCTATCTTTGCTTTGAGATGCAACCTGGGAAATGTGGGTTACCAGGTGGTTTGGAGAATATCTCCAATTTCTGTAAATATCAGCAGAGCTTCAAACTGTATTAAAGAAGAAGCAGCTTCGTACAGACTTCTGTTCTCCTGCACAAAACTAGATTTCAGCTGTTGTTCGGTTTCTCTTTAAAGGAGCAGTCTGACATTTTCACATCAGTTTGTGCTGCAGCCGAGCAGCCTGGAGCGAAACTGTGTCTCTGCAAGCATCGACACAAAGTGGACGTCTACTGTCGGAGTTTAGTTTTCTGCGCTGAGGATTGAAGGATCAGAGAGGGAAGGACGTTTCAGTGCAGCAGATCTGACTGATGAAACAAACCCCATTCTGTATATTCTGTTTCAATGCACCGGACTGCCGCTGATCTACATTAAGGGAATTCACTGACCTCCTTCGGCCGTTTTATTTGTCGACTGAGAGCAGCCAGCGCAGACGGGATGAGTGTATTTAAAACTGATAATTGTGTTTGCTGTTGTAATTTATATCTGGCTGTGATTTCAGTTGTAAATGTTTGTTTTTTTAAGAAAACACAGAAATAAAAAAGCGCTGAGGCCAATACGTTGCTCTGTGCTCTGTTTTACTCTGAAGGAGAAAAACACATTTTATTTGTTACTTCATTTATATGAAATTGTTTATCATCATTATAATGTTCAATAATAACCAGGACAAACATTTTTGTCAAAGTGAAAGCATAGTTAGGACTAAATGTATATTGTGACAACAAATATCTTCAGAGTAGAAAGCAAAAATATAATCAACACTTTAAAGTGATGTAATGAAGTCTGAAATCAAAGCCAAAAAATGAATGTAATCCCAGTTTATACTTTTGACTCATAGACTAACTTAAACAGAGGTCATGTAAATGGTTCAAGTAGAGTTTAGTATTTTATCCGTTGCTTTGAATTATTGTGTGAAGGTAAGCAAATATATGGAGTTACTTAACAGTCTAAAGACTTCATGTGGCTTCTGAACAAAGTCTGGCTGAAGAAACGCAATATTTCCTGTTTTAAAGTCACAGAACTCAGTGAAAACGCACTAAATGACACCAAACAAATGCAACGCTCCCACACAGAGGCAAAAAAACTATAATAGAGACACAAAATGAACACAATAGAAAACAATATGACCACAAAGAGACACCAAATGATAACAAGAATACACAAAATGTCCATTTAAAAAAAAACAAAAAACATAAAGAAACACAAAAGAGACACAAAACGACCACAGCATGCGTACATCCACACAGGTGTGTTACAGAGAAGCTTTCTTGTATGTTTACTTTATCTATAAATGAGCTCTTCAGTGGGAACTTCCCTGATTTCCAGTTTGTGTTCCAAAAATGTACACATGTATATTTTCAAATTATTTATCTAACAAAAATGACAGCAGTACTGAGCACAGTAAAGACTTTCCTACTAATTTATATGTCGCTGCCACTGATATTCAATCAGGCCTTAGCTGAAATCTGACACATATTTACATAGCTACATTTATAGACTGGATGAGTTTAAAACACATCACTTGTTGAGAGGATATTTGGGGAAATCTCTCTGCTAAATTATTTTTAAAAGGCTAATTCTGCTGTAAATGTACTCTGTAATCTTATCAGTATAAAGCAGAAATAGATTGGTTTCAGGCTGTAGTATAAAGAAATGCACAGTGGTCTAACAGAAATATTTAAAAAAACAAAAAAGGGAACAACAACAAAACATCCCCAAACTGGATGAAAATAGTTGGATATGCATTGTGGGTAACAACAACAACAACAACAACAACAACGACGCGGTGTATAGATAATGGATGGATATTATTATTATTATTATTATTATTATTATTATTATTATTATTATTATTAATTATTATTAGTATTATTAATAATAATAATAATAATTATTATTATTAATAATAATAATAATAATAATAATAATAATAATAATAATAATAATAAACAAAACTGTTACAGCCTTTGAATTGAGTACTTTAAGAAATTATAAAAATAAAATTGTTGACATGAATTTATCCAACAAGTCTAATTATTAAAGCTAAGAATCCACCGTATTATTAGCTAGTTATAGAGGTTAACCTAATTATAACGAAATTTACAAACAATATATATGGAGAGGATTCCTTGGACCCCATTTGAGTAACCTTTGTCTTATTTTTTAATTTTTTATGTATTTTATTAAATTCTGCACAAATAAATCTACCTTGAAATTATTGTCTATTGTCTATGTAAATTCCGACTTGTATATTTTATAAACCTAAAAATACACAGTGTGTATGAAATAACATAATCACGATATTTAAATAGGGTTTATATATTTTGATATACAGTCTGACGTTCTGGTGGCCGAGCCATTTTGCTGACACGACACTGCTCGGCTTTTCTCGCCACTATTCGGCTTTTCTAGACACTGTTCGGCTGTGTTCGGCTTTTTGTCGGCACTGCCTCAGCATCTTCGCCCAGCCAGTGTAAACCCTCCCAGTGTGTCCAGTATTCACCTGTGGGACTGACCGGGTCCGCTCAGGAGGACCAGTAAGGAGCGACGCTGGGAGAACTGGGAGAGCCGACCGGTTCACGTTACGGGCAGGTGGGGAGTCATTTTAACGGTCACCGATGGCACGCGGCGGATTAATTCCATTTTATCTGCAGCTTTTTTGCCGCTTTTTGCCTTTAGTGCAGAAAAAATGTTAAAAATGGCGCCGTTTGTTGACAAATGTTAGCTTAAATTCTCTTTTTAGCGGGCGATGTTAGCCAATTACGCCGAACTCCATTGAGAAATCCATCGATTTTACGTTTTTCATGTAAGTACACGTGTAAAGATCAGTTAAATTATTTAAAGCGGGTTTTCCATCAGTGTGTGCCGCATTTTGGGGCGGTTTATTAGAACATGTAATTTATATGGCGAGATGTGATTTTAATTAATTCCGGAAGCAGCTCACACAGTGCTAGTGTCTGATGGGCAGCGCAAACGAACTGTCCTAAAAAGTTAGAATTTTTAGTAGAAGGTTTGCTATGTAGTGCGCTAAACATATGCCGAATTAAGGAGCTGTTAATGTGGATGCAGAAGTTGTTTTAAGTAATATTCTGTCTGTTGGAAATCGTCCCCTATAAGCGAGAAAACCTTTAACTGGTACATTTTTGAACAGGGTTTGGATTCTTCCAAGGAGCTCAATCTGCGTATTGTTCTCTACCGACTTGTATTTATTAACGGCTATAGTGTGTTTTAATGACTGTAGCTCAAGTTACACTACAATATATGTGGTTTATTGTCATATTTAAACACATGCAATTGATGCGGTGTCAGAGGGTGCGTTTATTTTCTGACACAGTGCGGCGTGTTCCTGGCAGCTGGGCGGGGCATCCCGGTGGAGCTGTCCGGCCAGGCGGTGCTGAAACTGGGCAGCTTTAATTTGTGTAACATCTTGTGTAATTATTGTTATTGTCGTTGTTATATTTCCATTGAACAGGCTGCATTTCCATGTGTATAATGAGCAAAAATTCAGGTGTACCCTTTATTCGGGTGATGTTCTTCTGTTTTGACTCTCTGGTGTCTTTTAGTCAGAATCTTGTTCCCAGTTTGTGTTTCTGAAGCTGTGATGTGTTTCAGACTGACTGATCATGTGGGAGAAAACATTCCTGCTGCTGCTTCACAGCGTGGAAGGTAAAAAAGAGCCATTTAATTACTTTCAAAAGACATTTTTCAGTGTTAATATGAATTCAAAATGTTTAAGCCTCAAATCAAGATGATACAACAGCCTGTAATTCTTATTTCTTGCACTCACTCAGCTTGCTGATATTCAGAACATACCTTAAGCTATTTGTCTTTAACCCTCTGTACCCCGAGCAGTTTTGTGTTGTTGTTTTTTTTGTACTCCTGTCTCATTTTTCCTCACTGTGGATTAATTTTTCACTGAAATTTAAAGTCCTGCACCTCTATGGAAACGGCACAGTGTGACACAGTTGGAATGACCAAAAAGTATGCTTTGTTATCTGTTATGTGAAAATGAAAGAAACGGGAATCAGCATGTCCAACGTCTACAGGTGTTACCAACTCTGGCAAAAATGGAGGCTCCACAATTTTGTCTTTTTGTGGTTCTTTTGGATCTAGTTTTTGTTGTTTTTTTTGTCTCATTTTTGTTTTGTGTCTGGTTTGTGTTGTTTTCTGTCTGGTTTTGTGTCTGGTTTGTCATTTTGTGTCTGTTTGGGACAGCTTTGTCTCCTTTCTTTTGTTTTGAGTCGTTTTCTCATTTTGTCTCATTTTTGTTGCCCTAGTTTTTTTCAGTATTTTGCCAAGATGCTAATGTGGACTCACTCGTAGGACTGCAAATAGTGGTGTACACAGGGCTCCATATATTGTCATGTTATGTTCAAAGTTACAAGCTGCCTCCATGATGTCTTCATGTTGAAACTTAACAAATAATATCTGAATAGAATAGGATATAATAGAATACTTTTTTATTGAGCCTCCATTAGGGGAAATTTACACGCCACAACAGCATCCAAACATATGAAGGTACAAGAAAATAACAATAATTAATTAATATGCATCCTGGTGTCTGCACATAGCAGGTCCAAGGCCCCACCGTCTCCCATTGGGCTGTCCACACACTGGCTGAATGTGGGGAGAGTGGTAGAGAGTGATGTATGATTAAAGTCTCCTGAGATGACGATCAGAGATTGAGGGTGTGATGTTTGCAGCTGGGACACTGAACTATGGATGAGTTCACAGGCCTGAAATGACCTGGACTGACCCCACACAATAACCCCTGCTGTTGGGTCTGTTGCAGCTGTCGTGGCGTCTCAGTGCTGGCAGGGTGCGACCTTCTCTGAGGCTGTCGTGTCTCCAGCAGTGGAGAGCAGCGGGATCCTGCGTGTGCCCGGCGTGGCGTCCTTGCCGCAGTGCGTGGCGGCGTGCTGCGACCTGCTGGGCTACGACCTGGCGTGGCTGTTCGAGGGCCGCTGCTATGTCCTGAGTTGTCAGCAGAGAGAGAACTGCCGGCCCCGAGAGAGACCTGGCGCCGATTCCTTCCTTGCCTTCCTGCGCCGGGCAACGCCGCAGACGCTGGTGCTGCAGTCTCTGGTGAGAGGGCAGCCGTACGCCGGCCGCTGGACGCCCCTCTCTCAGTCCTCTGAAGCCCCCGGGGACCTGGACGCCCTGAAGGATCTTGCCCTCTTTGACCTGCCCCAACAGGGCTTCTCCAACCCCGGGATGCTTGACGAGGAGTACTCGGAGGAGGGCCAAGAGGAGAGGGCCGGCTCGGAGCTGGAGTCTTTAAAGGGAAGAGACAGATTCAACCAATCAGACGTTGAGGACATTCCAGAGAGGGGACTGACGGAGGGCAGTGTGGCCCAGATTGGAGCCTCCTCTGAGGGAAACATGAGTCGAAGAGATGAGGACAGAACAAGGAGGCCGACTGATCCTGCTGCTGCAGAGATAACAGTGAGTGATGCATTCAGATACAAACCTGAAAGGTTTTAATTTCCAGCCAATTACAGTGAATAACAGCTGCAAAGTTGTGTGGCTGAACCAAGTCTGTGGATCAGAGACACTTTTACAAACACAATAAGTCTGTTTGTCCAGGTCAGAGCTCACTATCTTCATTGTGGATTATTTTCTGGATGAATCATTTAGTTGTTTGGTCTAAAAAATGTCAGAAAAATGGATAAGAATAAGGATCAAATATATGCAAATAGAATAATGTTCTATATTTGTAGAATACTTTTCAGAATCCAAGTTACAAAGTGCTTCAAAGGGCAGCAAAATAAAATGAACAAGTCATAAAATCATCAGATTTTAAAAGACGGATAAAATATGTAGGTCTTCCCTTGTCATGTAGTTTATTCAGCCTCAGTTTGTTTCTTATTTACATCCATGTGAATGTGAATATCTGGATGTGACCTGTAGAAATGTAGGAGCCTGACTGAGGCGTAAGTGAAATCCTAACATTTGGATTTAGGCATAATCTGATGACGATTAATGCTTTGGGCTGCAACTAATGATTACTTTTATTGTCAATAAATCTGTGAATTATTTCCTGGATGAATCTGTTAGTTGGTCTTTGAAAACATTCAGTTTACTGTCATAAAGACGGAAAGAAAGAAAACTAGACCACACTCAGACTGCAATTACTTTCAGTATTGTTTAATATGACAGATATTTTCTCTTCTGCAGCAAATAAAAATGGTTTCACATATCCATATGTTCCGATTCAGTTGAATATCGTTTATGACAAAAAAAGCTTCAAATTCACATTTAAGGAGCTGAAACCAGGAAATGTTTTACATTTGTGCTTTAAAATGACTAAAATTAATATTTAATCATCACAATAATGGCTGATTTTTCTTATTACAGCTTTTTCTTGGATTATGTTCTGGATTCATTGATCAGCTGATTGGTTTCTATAAATGTCAGAAAATGGTGAAAAATGTAGCTCAGTTTTTCCTCAAATGTTTGTCCAAAGATATTCAGTTTACTGTGACAGAGGAGGAGATTTAGACAGTTTTTATTTAAAAATGAGTCAAACTGATTATTAAAATGGTTGGAGACTAACTTAGTAGTAACTAATAGACAACTAATACTGCACAGCTTGTGAAAATGAGCTTCAAACTCGTCTGAATGCTCGTTTGCAAAACTAGTTGCTGATGATAAACTCTATTATCAAGTGTGTCCTTTTAAGTGAAATATTGTTCCACAACCAAAAAAATGCAAACTGAAGAGCACAGGTTTGTCAATATTAAACTTAAACAAGTTTAATAATACAAAACTTGTTGTAAATGTGTGAAAGCGCTTTGGTTCAAACTGCAGCACAACAGTCCATCTCAGCACTTCAGCTTCTTCATTTCAGCCATTTGAGAAGCTACATGTAGTCACCGTCTCCTGTTTTACAAAATAGTGTCAGCAGGTCATGTTTTAATAATAGATGTGACACGTTGCCTGAGCCACATACATGTTGTTTGTCATGGCAGGACCAAAGTGATTTTTTTTTCTTTTTTACAGACAACAACACAAAGCAGCAGCAGCAGCACTGTTTCGACACCACTAAAACCAGTGAGTGACTTCACCCAACAAGACTTCATGGAGACTTCAGCCCCCACTCCAACTGCACTACATCTGCTCATCAGCACAGCAACAAAGCCAGGTGTCACATCATGAGATTTTTAGAACAGTTGCTACTCTACCATCTCGGATTTTCCTGACATTTTTATATAATAGAGTATTTATAAAAATCTTTGTGAAATTTTAGATGGAAAGCACCCTTGAGTAGCACTAAGCTAGAAAAATGCTAAGTGCAGAACATTTTTCATTTACCGGGATACGACAGCAGGTCACACTGTGTGGGCCTACATGTCTGCACATCAGACATAGAATGGCAGTTTAGTTTGTTGCTTGCAGCTGTTTGTAGGAGTTTTTCCTCTAAGTTTATTTCATTTCATTTATTTATTTATTTGATCAGGGACCATGCATTTTACATAGAAAACATCTGATGTATTGCATATAGAGTGTATAGCATTAAGCTCATTTTCAACTCCCGTCCTTGATTGGGCTCTTCAGTAAAAATGGACAAAAATTAATTACCTGCAGCATCAGACAGCAGCAGGATCCATATGAGAGAGCTGCACACATTAAGCGCAGTGTCTTCATTAATTAGTTATAATACAGATTTTTCCTGACATGCAGGCAGAATCGATCAGGATTTAACAGCAGCTTTGAACTTCTTTTTGCTTCAAATAGGTGAGCTGTCACACGGAGTCACAGTTTATCACCTGCTGGCAAATATATTGTCACATCCTGTACTTTCAATTTCACAGTTTAAAAAATCAGAAATAAACTGGACAGTTAGTTATTTGGACACATTAATCAGCTGCTATTAGTTAAGTTTTAGTCCGTTATTGTGTTGCTGTGTTTTATACATCACTTGATGTGTTGTCAGACCTCGTGTGAATGACGAATATGGTGCGAATACCACACAGTGACTAACTTTCTTCACCACTGTGGTGTCTGAAGGATCTGTGAGGTACATTAAAGTCACTTCTGTCTGAATAGCAAAATGCTGTCACTTTAATGGATTGACGAAGCCAGCAATGTTCCACGTCCCATGTCTGAAAGGGGCTTTTGACTTTATCACACAGCAGCAGAATCCACACGGTCTCCAGATTGAAAGAGGAGCTATGTGCAGTTTTCTCAGGTGACACAGAAGTTGACTTCATTTATTATTTAAATCTTTTGACCTGTCATTGATCCTTTGTGGAGTTTTTAACCTAAATGTTTTTCTATGAGTAAACAGCTGAGCTGCAGCACAAATTCAGTTTCTGCAGCGAAATCATCAGTTTGAGCTCAGGATGAATCAGCACCATTAAAACTGTCCATACATTTTTACTTTGAACAAATTTTGTTTGGTTTTTTGGGGGTGTATTAAATATAATATTGCAGAGTGTTTTCAGTTTTGCTGCTTAAATGCAAAAATACAGGACAGTACTAATAATGAAAACACAATTTGTTATCCTCAGCCTATAAGTTTCTGTATATAGTCTGAGTAATGCTGTTTGTATGGGTTGCAGGAATGTTAGTGTCAACAGAGCCATTGATTAAAAACAAATAATATTAACTTAAAAAATGTTTTAGCATTAGAGGCACTGCATTGACTGCATACATAACTTAAATCAGGATGTATGGTGGTGTTTTTTTTTTTTTAAGTTAAAATAATTTAGAGCCTGACTGAAAATGCAAAAAAACCAAAAAACTTTTTGTGGTAACTGGTGCGAAAGCGAAGCTAGCAACTGTCAGCTACATTGTAAAACCATTGCCGTTACTCGGTTAGGTAGTTTGGACACAATCTTATTGATCTGAAACTTCATATCTACAGTCTAATGTGTTCAGCTGCAGCTGAGTAAACATGCAGCATGAGGTTTCGTTTTGTTTTTTAGGTTGTATTCTGATTCCCAATAGAAGTAAGTGATTGTGAATAATGCAGTTTTTTCATTCACAGCTGAAGACCAAAAGAGCTGTAACGATAGATCCATATAAATCTGAATAACTTCTTGGTAGACAAAAAGTCACAGATGTACGTAATAGGTGTTTTTTTGTGACTTTGACTCACGTCTACTAACATGGAGGCAGTGGAGCCAACCAACCACCAGGGGGCAATTATTAAGTAAATCCTTTACTGAAATATTTCATTAATTCTCCACTTGCAGGTCGATCATTGACGGAGTCTCCTGGAAACCCTGCAGAGCAAGCGTCACCTACCGTGAAACTCGCTGCCTCAGTTACCCCTGAACCCACTAAAGGTAAAGAAAACACACACCAGGTCTGTATTACCACTTTAACCTTATAGCAGTGCCCCCTGCTGTATGGATGCTGGCATCCACCATTTATTTCAAAGTAAAACAAGTTGCAGCTTTCAGAATTATTCGCAGCCTTTAAGGTACAAATATGTAAAACCAGAAGTTTAGAGGTACCACGGTATCCTCCTGAATTTTTATGGAGATAAATAAGTTAGTTCAGCTATATTTATACACTATATTGTAAAAGATTCTTGTTCAGCTAACGTCATTAATCATGTAACTGTCATGTATAAAATAGGGCTGGACCCGAGTAGCCGACTATTTGTTCACTGTGCTGGAATCGAGATATCAATTTTGATCTCCGAATAGGTTCGCTAGTACAGGGGCACCACGAAAAAGAATTATGTGATGCTTAATGACCTTCAGCCAATGAACAGGTGTTAATTAAAGCCAGGATCAAAGGATGGCGTACAGGGTTTCTTCATCACATTGTCGTTGCAACCTACATCATATTTCCTTTAACAGAAGATAAATAGTAAATGTACTCAATTTATAATAATAGTCCATTCATTTTTTATTGATTATGTTACAGTCATTAAGAAAATTATTCAAATTTGGGACACCTCTTGGACAGCAGTCGTAAACAAAGAATTAGGCCTAGGTTGGAGCTGATACCAATCATCTAAAATTTTCCTTGATCAGTCCTGACTCGGATCTTCGATCAATGAGTCAAATCAGGCAGAAACTGGACCAACACAGTGGCGAAAGCAGTGAGGTGCATAAGTTAAGATGAAGGCCTTCAGCGCCACTGAAAAATAGAGTTGCAACACATTCATGTTCATGAATCATCAATACTTTTCTCATGCTTCTGTGGTCATAGTTACTCATGCAGTATGTTAAGACATTTACATACACATACACAATAAGTGAATATCAATGAATTTGGGTCAATAACTGAGGTTCAATGCAAGTTAAACAAAAATCTTGCAGCTTTGCGACTCTGTTTTGTCTATACCATCACTCATCCAAACAAACCCTTTCAAAAAAATCACCTGACAGAAGAAGCAGGATATAATGAGGCAACTGTCACTTCCAGGGACAAATTATCGATTGTGAAACAACTTCAGATTTTTCTGTTTCCTGACATTCATTCCCTCACAGACATGCTGAAGTTGCTGCAGTCTGCACCCGAAGCTCCACAGACCACCACCCACCTGCCGGCCTGGACCATGACCTCTGACCCCCCCACTGCCTCCTCAGCTGCCAGCATTTACCCTCCGACCATGACCTCACCAACGGCTGCTGAGTCAGGTGAATTCACACAGCAGAAACGCACTGAAGGCCAATCTGTGAGTCCTGGTTTCCCCCTGAATAAAACAGCAATTTGCTGGTTGGCGCCCTGGTGAAGTAACAAGGAGGAAAATTAAGCAGATTTTTGGAAAAAATCTGGTCTATACATGCGCTACAGCAGTAATACTGGGAACGTAATCCTCTTATCAAAAGGAATTTCCTACATTATTAATAAAGGTATCTCAGGTTAATGTAGCAACATAGAATTCCTAAATCACAGATGCTCAGACTCACTGCCACCTACTGCTTATTTCATGTGTTGTGGGAGAAAACATCGGTTTGAGAGCAACTTTCTCAGACTTTTTCATCTCAATTTCTTCCTTTTAGTCTCATAAAACATATAAAAGCATATAGTAACTTTTCAAATTATCATAGAAATTATAACACATATTTTGAAAATAGATTAAACTTGAAAGTTGCTTTTTACGGGCTGAAAACTAACTCATGAACACATTCCATATCGTATGTCATCCTGTTGACTTACTGTCTTATACAGTAATTACGAATATAATTTATGTGTATAGTAATAAAAATATAGTGTGTCAAATGTTGTAGAAGAACAAAATTTTCTTTTATAAAATAAGAGATTTTTTGTGTGGACATCAATAACAGTTGTGTTTTTTTACAGTTAACATGTAAATCACTACTTTGTTCAGTGATTTTTCTGGATAACTTCTGTAAACTAAGAAAATTAAAAATAAAATACCAGTCAAAAAATTGTACGGTTTTTAAATTATTCATATTAAGTATATAAGTTCCCGGCAAATAACTAAAATTACTAATTTAAGAAAAAAAGAAAAATTTTACAGTCATGCATTGTTAAAGAACACATTCCCATGTATAAAAAGACATTTGATTTAGATGTTATTTACAGTTTTGGCTTGTTTTTACAGCTGACATGTAAATTCATACTTTACCATATTTTTAATGATTGTACTTGATCGTAACTGTAATTTAATAAAACTGTAGAAATCTTTAAAATACCAATAATTTGTTAGAATATTTCTTGGCGACAGTGTTGCTGGATTTATTTTCTTTACTGAGCAGTAAAATTGAATAATATCATCATCTGCATTATCACTGATGTAGTTCATTTTTCAAGTGTCCCAAACAAAAGAACAAATTGAATCTGTGACCACCTGAATGTCGTAATCAGGAAATCTTTGCTTGTAATTACCAGATAAAGAGATTTTATTAAACAATAGCGTGAAGTAAACCAAAAAAATATGACAACGTTTTTAATGTCCTGTCCTTTGGCTTTACCCCCCTCTTCCTCTTTATTCAGTATCGGAGGTCGGAGGGTCAAACCGTGGTCCGGTGGCCGTCGTGGGTCCTGACAGGACCCTGTTTCTCCCAGTGAGCAGCGTGTTGCTCAACGGCAGCGGCAGCACCGACGACCGAGGCGTCAGCAGCTACCACTGGGAGGTGGTCAGGTCAGGAGTTTGTGTTAAAGCTTTAAAGACTGATGTGCTTCTTTACGATCTGACTCATCTGTGGAGGTTTTCTGTTGCAGTGGTCCTCCAGGTCTGAAGCTGGAAGACGTGGATCAGGCTGTAGCCACGCTGACGGGTGTTCGAGTTGGACGCTACACCTTCAAACTGACGGTGTTTGACCAGGAGGGGGCGACAGACAGTGCCTCGCTGACTGTCAGGGTCCAGGAAGGTGAGCAGTTCTTCTAACGCTCAGATATCAGGTAGACCTCTGACCTCAGCGTCATGTTTTTGTCACATTTTTACTCACTGTTGTTTCATTTTTTATTGCGATATAAAGTAAACTCGGAGAAGTCTTCTGTGACACAAATTAAAGTTTTCTTTGATTATCAATTTTACAATCATTTTAGTCTAAGGAACCAAAAACCCTCAGAGGGAGGGGGGGAAAACCCTCTGGCAGAACCAGGCTCAGGGAGGATGGCCATCTGTCTTGACCGGTTGGGTGAGAGTGGGGATGATGGGGGAGGGTATTTTCCTCTGTCACTCTTGTCGTCTCCTCTCTGCTCTGTGGAAACACTGCCAACAGTTCATCTGAAGCCTCTCTGAAACTTTGTCACCTGAATGTTGGTCACAGCTGAGTCAAAGAAGGCTTCACAGATGTGCTGAGGAGAGAAGAGTGTTTTGTTTTTGACCAAATCTGGTTGACGCAAATGATTGTTTTCTGGTGATTTTTTGAGCGTGATGTTGATTATAGTGATTCTGTTGAAAAATTACATGAAGCTTAGACTTGGTTACAGCTCAGATGATATATTCAAGGACTGCTGGAGAGGTCAAAATCTGATGATTTATTCTGCTTTTACAGTTTCTGGCTGATTTATAGTTCCATCTTGGCCATTTTCCTTTTCAATTTTTACGTGTTTTTTTTCCAGGTCAGACTCGAAAGCGTTTTAAATGATTCACGGGATGCATTCATCACAGACTGTCCACAGATGTCCTGAGCACATTGCTGCCCCTCAGATGATCAGCCTTCCTCCAGACAGAATTTAACTCAAAGCTCTACTCTGGTGCTCCTTTTGTCCTGCAGCCACAAGTCTTCCTCCGGTCGCCCACGCCAGCGGCAGCCACACCTTGATTCTGCCAAACAACAGTCTGGTCCTCCGAGGCTCCGTAACCAACGGAGACCAGAGCAACGTCCACTACAGGTGGACCAGATACAGCCAGAGTCCTGCAGCTGGGGTCAGTGTATAGATATCCAACACAGATCTGCAGCCAGATCGCAGTAGTTTATAATTGGTTTACATAAGGCTACAGAATGTGAGAGTGGATGAATATTGTAATCACATAACATAGATTATAATTAGGTGACATGATGTTACAGAATGTCAGAGTAAATATGAATAGTAATTAGATTACAGCAGTTTGGTAATCTGTTATACTGCAGGATGTGCTGTACGGCTCGGACTCTGAGGCCTCTCTCTACCTGACCAACCTGGTGGAAGGAACGTACCTGTTCCAGCTGAAGGTGACTGACGCCCAGGGCCGCTCCAGTTCCGCTACAGCCACCGTGGAGGTCCGACCAGGTGGGCTGATACTTTCTAACATGTCTTGCTGTGTTTACTGGTTTTACTGGAGACCTGTGTCCCTTCCGTGTCACTGTAGAACCTGGCGGCGGTGAGCAGGTGGAGCTGGAGATGCTGGTGTCGGTATCGCAGGTCAGCGTGGCTCAGAAGGACACGGTGGTCCGACAGCTCGCCGCCCTGATCCACGTCCTGGACAGCGACATCCAGGTCCGAGCACTGCAGGGACACTCCCACCTCAGGTACCAGACTGGTTTACTGGGAACTGGGACACAAACTGGTTACAAACATATTGTGATCAGTATTTTAATAGGTCACTCACTGGTTTACAAAGTAGTTTACTGGCTCACTTACTGGTTTGCAGACTGGTTTACAGGATTACTCTGTGATAGTTGAGATCATATCACAGGTTTAAAGTATCTTCATGTTTCACCTTGACGTTCTTTTTTCTCTTTGTTTAACTGACTGGTTTACTGGTTCGCTCACTGGTTTACTGACTGGTTTACTGGAACACTCACTGGTTCATTGGTTTACTGAGTGTTCACATATATTTTTTTAAGCTGTGCTCTCTTGACACACTTTTACTATCAATATTTTTGATATCAAGATTCAAATGTATTCAGCTGAAGTTAGCTGGTTTGTATTAACTCACTGAAAAGTTTAGAAAAGCACTGTAGAAGAACAGAAAAGATTGTTTTTGAGGTCGTCATGTTTATTCACCCAAAGAGAACAAAAACTGTTCATTTTTTAAAAATGTGTTTCTTCAAACAGGAGATGTGATTAATGCTTTAGTGTTCAAAATCCTTAAGCTCATGTGCCTGAGATTTTTCTTCTTGTGCGTCTGTGTGTTTGTGCAGCACGGTCTTGAGGTTTTCTGTTCGGGGCCCCTCGGGGCCCCTCTCTGGCTCCAAGTTGGTGAGCCTTCTGAGGAACCAGCTGCTCAGAGAGAAGAGCGACTACCTGTTGTTCAGAGCCCTGAGAGTCGACACCGTCTGTGAGTTCAATGGCACCAGTCAAACCAGTCAGATGACATGTTTCCAGTATGAAACTACCATAAAGTGAATCTGACTTAATGTCGCAGAAGTGGCTTTATCTCTGTATAGCTTCATTGAGTTTACTTTCTGTAAATAACAGAACTTTCTTCTTGTTTTTGTTCTCAGTGTGTTTGCTCCGCTGTTCGGGGCGTGGCCAGTGTGATCCAATCACCAAGCAATGTGCTTGCGACCCCTTCTGGACCGAGAACCTGATTCGTCGTTACCTTGGTGATGGAGAGAGCAACTGTGGTAACTTCTTAATTTTATCTTGTAGCAGGACAACCAACATTACCAGCTGACGTTGTTTGTCTGACGCAGTTTAACCCCTATTGAAGGGAAAAGACATCATAAATACCAGGTGTGAGAGCCCTGTAGCTTATCCATCCATCCATCCATCTATTCATTATCTATACACCATTTAATCCTCACTAGGGTCGCGGGGGGGCTGGAGCCTATCCCAGCTGACTGAGGGTGAAGGCAGGGGACACCCTGGACAGGTCACCAGTCTATCACAGGGCTACACTTAGAGACAGACAACCAAGCACACTCACATTCACACCTACGGACAATTTAGAATCACCAATTAACCTCACCATGTTTTTGGAGTGTGGGAGGAAGCTGGAGAACCTGTAGAGAACCCACGCTGCACGGGGAGAACATGCAAACTCCACGCAGAAAGATGTGCGATGTGCAAACTAGTGACCTTTTTGCTGCGAGGCAACAGTGCTAACCACCGAGCCACCTTGTAGCCCCCTGTAGCTTATTCACTAATATATTTTGAAGTGAGCAACGCCCCCTGGTGGTCGCACTGGCAGTTACAATACCTTAATGTCCCAAGTATAAATAGGGAAAATAAGTTTTTAACAAGTACTGGAATATAAAATTGAGGTAAAAATAAGCTACTGTCATCACGAAGGAACAACTTACGACACAACATACGACAACATTTTACAGGAGTAGCACTTTTTCCTTGAAAAAATGTTTAAATTGTGGGAGTTACGTGTTTTGTTTTGTTGTTGTTTTTTTTTTAGAGTTTTTATTATAACTCTGTTTTTTTTGTTTTTTTTTTTACATTATTAAGTTATATATAAAGTATTTTATTATTCACTGAGGTTTTCACATACAGTAGCCTCTGTTCAAACCAGGCAAATGTGCTGAAAGTGCATCCGTTGAGCTTTAAAAGTTAATTTGCACAGTTTCAGCCTCAGATATAATCTGATCTGTTGTACGTTAGAAGCAGCAGGTTTTATGAAACACAAACACTCTGCTCCTCCTGTCAGAGTGGAGAGTCCTGTACGTCATCCTGACCAGCTTCGTGCTCGTGGTCTTCATCCTGTCGGTCAGCTGGACCTTCATCTGCTGCTGCAAGAGGTCAGCGCACAGTGACAGACAGGAAACTAATCCCAGAACTGCACTACGCTTCTCCTGTGGTCAACTCAGGTGTGCTTCTGTGTTTAGAAGGCGACAGACCAAAGTGCGAAAGAAAACGAAGTACACCATCCTGGACAACATGGACGAGCAGGAGAGGGTGGAGCTCAGACCAAAATTCAGTGAGTCACTTTGCCTCACCGGTTTGAGTTAACCCTATGAACCTCCAGAAGTTTTCAAGCATCACATTTTTGATCACTGTGGCCTCATTTTTCATTGCAACATAAACTCTTGCACCTCTGTGGAGACATCACAATTATGACTAGAAGTAGAGAAATTAGAAATGTCTCCCGTTCAGTATGACACAGTTACGATGAGAGAAATCACTGTAAAAAAGATAGAAGTTGAAGTCTGCGTTCTGTCATTTTGTGTCTCAAACTGAGACACAAAATGACTGAACCAATCCCCTTTCTTCTGTGCAGGTATCAAACACCGCAGCACAGAGCACAACTCCAGTCTCATGATGTCGGAGTCGGAGCTGGACAGCGACCAGGACACCATCTTCAGCCGGGACCGGCCAGTCCGCAGCAGGAACCGGATCAGCGCCCATGCCGCCCGCAATGGAAACGCCTTTGGATGACTGGACAACTGAGCTTTCTGCAAAGGTTTGCATTCTGGCAGCAAAAAAAAAAAAAACTTCATTACCCAGAATTCCTGTCCTGTGAGATGAGTCCCATTTCAGTGGACATAAGACTTTAAGGACGGAGCTATGACCCCTGACAGATTGTAACATCCAGCTGAGGGCTGAAGGGCAACGTGTGGATGTTCGGATGACCTCGATGTGTCGGAAAACTCTGACTTCGTGGGAAATAAAATCCCAGAGTCACTTAAGACAGTTTAGTCTCCAGAACACGTTTCACCTAGCTTGGCACAAAGACTGGAAGCAGGGGGAAACTGATAACCGAGCTCCATCAAAAGAGGGAAAACAAAATCACCTTTTAGCAACTTCATCTCCTTCTGATTTACACATTTTCACTTGTCAGCTAACAAACTAGACACCAATACACTCAGGAATCAGCTGGGTTTGGTTGAGGATAGCCAGTTCTCAACGAACTGTACCGAGAAGCTAACTTTAAGCTGAGTAGACCAGAAGCTAACTGGACAGTCTCAAACTCAAGGAATTGTTAGCGTTAGACACATCTCACTCTCAAATATTGTGTTAACATCTGCTAAAACATAACTCAGAGCAAAAGCCAGAAACTAGGGGAAACTGCTAACTCAGTCAAAAGACAAAATATCCTAACAACTCTAAACATGCATGATTTAAATAAGTCCTGCTAGCTAGTTGTGCAGAGTAAGACCATTCTAATAAGCATGGACACAGCACTGTGTAGAACTGTCTGACTCTAAGAAACTACCTAACAAGCAAGTTCAAGTTTCAGTTTTGCTAACAAGAATCCTAATATAGTCTAACTTGACCTTAAAGCTATGCTAAGAAGACTCCAAAGCTAAATTGAAGCAAACATTTTCAAAACTAGCTCTTGACTAGACTTACTTCTTCATGGAAACTGTCTAAATCTAAATGAATTACGAGCAATACACTTTCCAGTACTGCCCGTATTGAGAGATTAGCTCTGCTAAAACATGTTTAGTTCAGCAAACATTTAGCCTGGCTCAACATAAAAACAGGAAACTGTAAAACTGCTAGCCTAGCACAGTCAAGAAGTAATAGTCCTCTTTCAGTACCTTGTTGTACCTTACTAGCTAACAGCCTATCAAAGATTAATTACGCATAGGCTAATTTGAACCTAACCTGAACCTAAAAGAGAAACTAATCTTAACTATGTAGATCTAAACAAATCATTAGCACTAAGCACTACTTCCCAGTACCAACTGTTAACAGGTAAATTTCCAAACATGTTTAAATCCAAAAAATCATTTCAGTTTCATTGACAAAAACTTTTTGGCGTCTAGTCTAGGATACATTTAGCCTAGCTTAGCTCAAAGACTAGCAACAGTGGGAAGCTGCTAGCCTAGTACAGTCAGAAAACAGTATCTTGGCAGACTAGCATGTCGTTTCATACTTATTTTACTGTACAAATGTGGAAAGACAACATTGTTTACCCAGCAGCTAGCTTTTAGGCTGTTCTTTGACAAATCCCAGCTGGCTCTTGACTGACTGGAGACTTGCTTGTTGGCTAACAAGATTCACATGTAAATCTGAGTCAAATGTTTTTCAAATTTTTTTAATTGTTCTGAGGTTTACCATTTAGACCACCAAGGGTCTAAAGGATTAACAGGGACAAAAATGTTAAGAATCAGCTCAGCCAAATACTAAAACTGGAAACTTCCAACAGATGCAATGCATTCCCAGTGAGCATTTTGCTTTTACTCATTTTCATCAAAAAAGAAAATAGGGTCCAGTTGTAACAATACTGAAATTATTCTTTAACTTAAAAAAAAATAAAAAATTGTTTTCAGTATTCTTATCAGTAGCCTATTTGTAGTTACCTGCCATTAAAAAACAAACTCAATCACAGCATGTAATATTAAAAATCTTTATTTTTCCATTAAAATCTACAGTCAGAAATACAAAAAAATCCATGTATTTATACACTGACAACAGTATATTACAGTAAAATTATATTAGAGACACAATCTGCAAAACAAACTGTCAGGACTGAACAACATACTGATGGACATCATTACTGCTATTATTGGCAAACGTATTTATAGTGAAATTCGTGATCAGAAGGCCTGTGAGTTTGATTTGACTGTTGGTTTGACACAAGTACATACTAATATACATTTTTGATTTAGTAAGTATGACTTCTGGAGTAATTTTACCAAACTGTTCAAGTGCAGGATGACTTAAAGTGAGCTTTGAGGCCGAAGACTTGTTGCTGTGACATTTTCACATCAATGTTAAGGCGATAGTTTGTTTTTCTTTATCTGTAATTAGGGTTACCTGCAGCAGATGATGGTACAGTTTCTCATTGGAAAGTGGCTTCTGATAGCAAATTGAAGCCATGAAAATACTTTGAATATAATTACATTTGACACGTGTATCTCATATCACTCTACTTAAAGACATTAAAAATAAAACTATCCCCTTAAGCTACCTTTGCATATCACAGGCTCTGGTGAAACAACAGTCAAGTCAAGCTACAGCCAACATTCACAGAACTCCAACAGTATAATTTGTGCTGCATTACTTCATAAAAACACAGTATTGTTGTTCTTCACAGTAAGAAATAACAATCAGTCACACGGCACTTATGATTGAACTGCTCTAAGGTAACAGACGCTCAGAAAACAGCCTCATGTGCTTTAACCAGCATTCAGATCAACATTTATCTACACAGCAACAAGATTTCTAGAATTATGTTGCAATAATTAAAACACATTTATGGATTGTTTTTTTTTTCCTTCCTCTACAACATTGGGTGCATGCAGACATGTTTAACCCTGTTCCTCCTTTATTTATACATATATTTATGAGCACGTTTTGTGTGTTTAAGGGACAAAAATTCTTATTTTAAGACCCAAAGTGTCCCCATGGGTTCAGTTATGTCAGATTGGTAATATATCAAACAAAAAAAGAATGAAAACTTTCAAATTAATTGATATTTTCCCTTTTAAAAACAAAATTTATGAACATGTTCTTCTATTTACTGTTTTTCTGCTTCTTTCTCACTGATCAGACGTTAAAACAACTTCAGCTGCACACAAATTGAACAATATTGGTTTCTAACTGACTTGCAACTTTGTTTTCACCATAGTAACAGAATACTGGATTCTCATTGGCTGCAGGGTGTTTGTTATGTTCTGAATGATTTTGCTAAGCCCCTTCCCAAACAGTCGCTGTCCAGTCATAGCTCAGTGATTCTGCCTTGCTGTTCAAACAGTTTTGACCTCAATGTTTTTGTTTGCCAAATATGGAATGCTAACAATTAAAGCAATCCATATTGTGATTCAGGATCAGCTCCTGAACAGGGATAGTTATAACCCGTGAGGAGCTGAGTAATGCAGTTTATTGATAAATATCATGGAAGTAAGATCAAGCAGTAGGATTACGTGCAGCTGAGTTCAGAATACTAACATTAGCAGCTTACACACTGACGAGTCCTTTCATTACACTACATGCTAGTTTTCGAATGTGGAATATTACATCATATGAAAGGTGCACTTGAAAGGCAGAGTTTCCATTACAAAAAATGTTGCTTTCTACCTGCAGAGTCCATTTCGCAAGTCTGTGCATTCGGAAAGGGTTCACAAGCCAAAATACTTGTGTGTGCAAACTAGAGCTGCAACAGTTTATCATCTATTTGTCAACTATTAAATTAATTGCCAACTATTTTAATAAACGACTGAGCTGCTTGAGTAATTTCTAAGGAATAAATTCTCAGATTGTAGCTTCTAATAAATGTGAACATTTTCTGTTTTCTTTCTTTAGTCAACTGAATATCTTTTTAGCAGTGGACAAAATAAGATATTAGTCATATCTTGGGCATTGGGAAAGATTAATTCACTTGTACAAAACAGAGTAAATCTGAAGTATGTGTGAGTTTGCTGACACGAAAAAATTGCATTAAAAACTGGAATGCTGAAATGTTAAAATTACAGTACAACGTGGATATTTTTCTGTCACATTTAAAAGAACAAATTACCATTTGCTAAAATACAGATTTTTTTTTGATGTGGACATTACTTACAATTTTGGCCTTTTTTTCCTAAATTTACATGTAAATTAATACCTTATTTACAGCGCTTTTCCTCAATGTTATCTGTAAAATAACAGTTAGTTGTTCAAACAAAATGAGATCCCAGTGTAGGGATGTTAGTTATTTACCAATAAAACACTGACCATGCTGTGCAATATTTTTCTAAAATTCATACTGTATATATAACGTGTACTGTATATATAACTTATCTTATTTTATATTGAAATCTCTTCTATTTTATTTTTTTGCTCTTTATTTTGTTCTTTATTCTATGTTGCACTGAAGGAGCTGCTCTTAATCTCATTGTACATGTGTATAGTGACAATAAAGGCATTCAATTCAATTCAATTCAAAAACATATTAACTGATAAGTTACTGTAGAGACCACAGGAGGCGGTTAGTCATACTACGGGCAGTTCATGTTGGCAAGCAGAGGGCATTGTGGGGGTTAAGATAGTAAATGGGCACCATGGCAAAGACTTATGTGAGTTTTGTTCAGAGGACAATGACCCCACATGACAGACAATTACTTGATGTTACGTGTCTAAGATTAGTAGCTCCATCAGCGTACAAAAACATGTCTGCTGTACATCAGTCAACCTAACAATCAATTGATGAATAAAGCTGCTGACGATTGGCTAAGAAAACTGTTTTTGCTTCACATCTCACAAACATGAACTTCAAGTCTTCAAGCCTTTATATCTGGATGGACAGACTCACAAAATGGACTCTGCAGGCAGAAACAAGGTCTACAAAACAAAGCTTACAGATATGAACTTGAATGTGTACGTTTGCAGAGCTACAGCTACAGAGCTAGCTGTTCCACAAACACAAAAAAGTGTGAGTAAAGGATTCGTCAGTGTGTGAGATGCCAAGCTACCTTAAAGCAGTGGTTCAGTTTTATTTACTGATATTTATCAGTAAACTGCATTATTTTATGGACTTACAGATTAGAAGGATCTTACCAAACGTTTCTTTATCTGTTCTATGTGGCAGAAGTTTATGGAAGACGAATCCTCCAGTTTTCTCATGTAAAAGTAAAACAAATTGTCTGAACTTACAATAAAGCTTAAATTCAGCCTTTGTGTTTCTTGTCAAATGATCTTATTTTGTTTTTCTTCAGTAAAAAATATCCAAATAGCATCTGGCATTACATGTTTGTTGTTGATACTAGAGCTCATGTTATTGCAGCAAAGCATCATGGGAGTTTTAGGTAAACATCTCCTCTTCAATTTCTACAAGTTTTTTTTACCCTTGTTATTTTTTGTAAAACAACCAGATATTTTATGACACAACTGTTTTTTAAGGTAATAGTTTTTTTTGTATATCAGAGGGTCTGAACCTTAATATTTAAGTTAAATCTGTAATTTAATTGAATTTTGCTGCTTGAAAGCACTAAATGTGAAACAAAACTATCAGTGAAGACCTCTGACGGATTCTGATTTTGAAGCCAACAAATGTTAAGAAATTCACCATTTCCAATCCATTCCAATCCATCCATCCACCATTTCCAATCAGCAGGAGATCCATGCAAGATTAGAATTTTAACACAAACCATGCAGCCAATCAGAATGTACCATTATTTTCAGAAGAAATTCCAAAACAAACAACGTAATTACTTATTGCTTTAAATATTTTTCCACATATAAACTGTTTATTTCTAAAAGGGAAGAGAAGATAAAATAAGCGGACCTTGTTTAGTAACTCATAGGTTTGTTGAACGTTATCTGAGCATATATTGTCATTTTAATTAGATTTAACCTTCTGTTCTGTGGTTTACCTGCAGTTAGTTGTTATATGAGGTCACAGTGGGACCTCTAATGCAGGTTTTCTGTAATTTAAAGTGTTATTCTGGTATGAGGGGAGTTTAATTAGAACCTGAGATGGATTACTTTCACCGTGTTGTCGTACCGGCGGCCCCGAGGCGTCGCTCCGTCCTCGCTCAGGGCTTCAGACCTCCGAAGCACATGTACTTCACATCCAGATACTCTTCGATGCCGTACTTTGAACCCTCACGGCCCAAACCGGACTGTTTGACGCCGCCAAACGTGGCCTCCGGCGTGGACAGAAGGCCCTCGTTCACGCCGACTATCCCCACCTCCAATGCCTCTGCCACCCGCCAGATCTGACTCACATCCTGCGAGTAGAAGTAACCTGAGAGCAAACAGATGTCGAGGGTTAAAACCAACACACATCAGTCAGCTAGTCCTCTAACCAGCCCTGACCTGAGCCTGTGGAGCCGCTGACGATCACCTCTGTATGTAAACGCCTTATTAATATGGAGTGTTTTACTTTATTTTTAATTTTATTTTCAATTTATTGATCCGTGGACCCACCGTGAGCTGTGTCCTTAATAAAGTCTGAACTGAAAAATGTGTTTTATTGCTCCATCTTTCTTTGTTTCATTTGACATCTGATATTCAGGCGTTCAGAGGTCTGAATTATGAAGCAGGATTTGAGGTTATGGAGGTAACTTCAGGTTTAACGGTACTACAATGGTGGTTCACTTCTTATCACATTACCATGCTGACTGATAGTAAACACCTGACCTGCTCTGGAAAACGCTTTGTTCCAGATAACAGATCAAAGTGTAATAAAAGACCTATTTACAAGGGCTCAACAAGGGTTTGTATCTGCAGCTGCTGCTACTTTTAGCCTATATTATATTTTAAACTCTCCATGTTGATTTATAATTTGTTCTCCTTCTGCTCTACACCTGTGCATGTTTGTGTCTGGAGTTTCTTCCAGCTGCAGCTGTTTGGTTTAATGTTTAATTTCTGGTACTGATGTGAATTATTGTTACAGAAAGCTAATAAGAGCAGATACTGATATGATTTATTATTAGTAGTTTATAAAGTAGTAGTTGGTAAATAACTCATCCATGCAGGTTTTCACTTATATTTTCATAATAAATCTTTTCTCATTTTATTCTATATGGGATTAAAAACGTCTTCAACACCATACAGGATTACAGGATTACATATTCACAGCAAATAGGCTCAGTGTAAGTATTAGCTAGTGCAACTAGTAAAAAGCACTAGTTATAAGGAAACAGATGTTCTCACCTGCCAGCCCGACGTTGGAAGCGTTCGCGATAGCCAGAGCTTCTTCTTCTGTGTTAAACCTGGAAACAGAAACAGATTCTGGTTGGTCACCGGCAACCAAACAGTCTTCATGCTGTTATTCTCAGATGAAATATTTCGTTCCCCTAGAAGCTTGTGTAGATGAAAACATGAACTTTCTTCAGACGTCTCCTTTGTGATTTTTAAGCAGTTTGAAGCAACACTTAGTTCAGCTCAAATTCTGAGATTATATTTTCATTATGTTTTGGTTAAACCTGTGTATGTGCGGCTGCAGATGAATACAGTGCTAAACTATGTTGTGTATCATTGATGGTGTGAGCTGACAGACCTGATGACGGGCAGCAGCGGTCCGAACGTTTCCTCCTTCGTACACAGCATTTCTGCAGTGACGTCGGCCAGCAGAGTCGGTTCCATGAAGGAGCCGTGGAGACGCTTTCCACCCCTCAGAACCTTCGCCCCACGGGACACAGCATCCGATATCTGATGGACCACCTGGGGAGTATAGTCAGCTGTCAGTGAAGCTGCACTGAGCCTGACAGACACAGCTCAGGGTTCACTGGCTCAGTTACATCCATCCATCCATTTTCTTCCGCTTATCCGGGGTCAGGTCGTGGGGGCAGTAGGCGGAGCAGGTCGTCCCAGACCTCCCTCCCCCCGGCGACGCTTTCCAGCTCTGCCTGGGGGATCCTGAGGTGTTCCCAGGCCAGCCGAGAGATATAATCTCTCCACCGGGTCCTGGGTCTGCCCCGGGGTCTCCTCCCAGGTGGACGAGTTCCTCGGGGGACACGGTCATAGGCCTTCTCCAGATCCACAAAGCACATGTGGACTGGCAGGTCGAACTCCCATGCCCCCCTCAGCAGCTCTGTGAGGGTAAAGAGCTGGTCCACTGTTCCACGACCAGGACGGAATCCGCATTGCTCCTCCTGAATCCGAGGTTCGACAATCGGCCGAAGCCTCCTTTCCAGCACCCTAGAGTAAACTTTCCCGGGGAGGCTGAGAAGTGTGATACCTCGATAATTGGCACACACTCTCTGGTCCCTTTTTTTAAAAATGGGAACCACCACCCCCGTCTGCCACTCCACAGGCACTGTACCCGATGCCCACGCGACATTGAAGAGACGTGTCAGCCATGACAGTCCGACAATGTCCAGAGTCTTCAGCATCTCATGGCGAATCTCCTCCACACCTGGCGCTTTGCCACCGGGGAGCTTCTTAACTACCTCGGTGACTTCTACCACGGATATGGACGCAGAAGCCCCCGAGTCTTCAGGCTCTGCCCCTTCATCAGAGGACGTGTTTACCGGGTTCAGGAGTTCCTCGAAGTGCTCCTTCCACCGCTCGACAAGGTCCCCAGTCTGGGTCAGCAGTTCTTCTCCCCGACTGTACACAGCCTAGGAGAGTCCCTGCCTCCCCTTTCTGAGGCGTCGGACGGTTTGCCAGAACTTCTTCGGGGCTGACCGAAAGTCCTTTTCCATAGCCTCCCCGAACTCCTCCCACACCCGAGTTTCAGCTTCCACGACCACCGCAGCTGCAGCCCTTTTGGCCAGCCGGTACCTGCCTGCTGCCTCAGGAGACCCCCGAGCCAACCAAGCCCGAAAGGTCTCCTTCTTCAGCCTGACGGCTTCCCTCACTGCCGGTGTCCATCAGCGGGTTTTGGGGTGACCTTCTGGCCACAGCTCTTAACGGCTGCTTCTGCAATGGAGGCTTTGAACATGGACCCCATGTTCAAAGCCTCCATTCAAAGCCCCTTTGAACCATGTCCCCAACCTCCCCCGGGATGCAGGAAAAACTCTTCCGGAGGTGGGAATTGAAAATCCCACGGACAGGGGCCTCTGCCAGACGTTCCCAGTTCACCCGCAGTACGCGTTTGGGTTTACCAGGTCTGTCCGGCAGCCTTCCCCGCCATCGGATCCAACTCACCACCAGGTGGTGATCAGTCAACAGCTCTGCTCCTCTCTTTACCAGAGTGTCCAAAACATACGGCCGCAGATCTGATGATACGACTACAAAGTCAATCATCGACCTTTGGCCTAATGTACTCTGGTACCAAGTACACTTATGAGCAACCTTATGTTCAAACATGGTGTTTGTTATGGCTCAGTTACAGTCACTTAAAACTGGATCAGACCAGCTCAGCGTCTCTGTGCGTCACAAGAAATACAGAGATCTCTTTTTCAGAGCTCTGTCCGTTTTAATGTCCAACTACATGTATCTCTTCTGCAGCCCTGCTGTTGATCTGGCAAAATGACCACAAAATGAAAACAAGGCTACACACAACGACCACAAAAAAAAAACACACACACACAAAAGGACCACAAAGAGAAAATAATTTCGACAAAAAGACAACAAACAACCACAACAACAAAAATACAACCTCAAAAACTCAAAACAGACCAGAAGGACAAACAAAACTACCACGAAGAGAAACAAAATACAACAAAAAGACACAAAATGAACACAAAGAGACAAACTCATTATAAATTAAACCAGAAAGGCTCCACAGAGATGCTGAGTTGTTCCAAGCTCAGGCGATAAAGTAAACATTTGTAAACTCCGACTGTTTCCACCACAGTCACCTTCTCTGCTGCTCTGGTGTTGATCAGCGGCCCCTGGGTGGTTTCAGGCTCCGAGCCGTGACCCAGTCGCAGCTCGGCATCCATCGCTCGGCCCAACTCGTCTATGAAGCGGTCGTAGATTCTGCTCTGCACCAGGAACCGGTTGGAACAAACACACGTCTGCAGGAGGAACCACAAGCCTCAATAAGTTACTGAGACTGACGCACCTGCAGCAGGTGAGCAGCAAAAACTGCAGCTTGTCTCACCTGTCCGGAGTTCCTGAACTTGGATGCCATGGCTCCAGCCACCGCCTTGTCGACGTCAGCGCTGTCGAACACGATGAAGGGGGCGTGGCCTCCCAGCTCCATGGACGCCTTCTTCACTGTGTCGGCAGCCATTTTCAGCAACACCTGAGAGGAGGTAGAGATTACTACACTTCTACTACTACTACTACTACTACTACTCCTACTGCAAATACTTTCATAAATGCACCAATACTACAAATGATCTGCCACAAGTAAATATGCTGAAGTAGAATACCAAAGCATAGAAAAACTCTCCTGCAAGTAAATTCACTGAAGTAAAACAATAAACAATACAGAGTAGGACTACTCTACTGCAGGTACATGGACTGCAGTACAGTACAAATACTACAGTGTGAGAATACTCTGCTGAAAGTACTTTTTTTTTTTTTTTTAATTATAAGCAAAAGTACATATACTACAGTGAAATACTCTGCTAAAAGTAACATTTTCTTAAGTAAAAGAACAAATACTACAGAGTAGGAATACCCTGCCTCTTGGTACATGTACTTCAGTAAAAGTATAAATACTACAGTGTAGAAATACTCTAGCTCTGACCTTTCCGGTGGCCGTGGATCCGGTGAAAGAGATTTTGGCCACTAGGGGGTCGGTGCAGAGGACCTGCCCCACTGACGGAGTCGTCTCTCTGGAGCAGGGAACCACGTTAAACACCCCGGCTGGGATCCCCGCCTGCTCCGCCAGCTGCACAAAACAAACGTACGCAGACTTTACAAGATGAACACGATGTTGCACGAACATGTGGTGAGGAGTCTGACAGCAGTTCTCCATGTTGGTGTGCTGCTGAGGATTCTGTGTATTCTGATGTTCATGTACTGACCTCTGCCAGAGCCAGAGCCGACAGCGGGGTGTCCTCGGCTGGTTTTACCACCACCGTGCAGCCGGCAGCCAGAGCAGCTCCAACCTTCCTGGTGATCATGGCGCTGGGGAAGTTCCACTGTAACACAACAGCAATGCAAGACATATTAAATTGTGTAGACCACCGCGAAGAGACAGAAACCATCACTAACAGAAACACCCATCCGCAAAAATATGAAATGACCACAAAGAGATGCACAACTACAACAAAGAGACACAATTCAACAACAGGAAAACAAAAAAACAGCAAAGAGCAAGAAACAACCCGAAAAAGACACCAAATAAACACAATGAGTCACAAAACAAGCACAAAGACAAAGAAAAACCACAAAGAGATTAAAAAAACAAAACAAAAAAACTTAAAAATAGACTGACAAAACCACAAAGAAACAAAAAAAGACCAGGAAGAGACACAAAACTTAAAAAAAAAACAAAAAACAACAGACACAAAACCACCACAAAGAGGCAAAAGCCGATGGAGTGCTGGTGTGTCGGCCATCTTTATTTATCACGTGTGCTCAGCTGGACTGTGATTGGCTGCTCACCGGCGTGATGACGGAGGCCACGCCCACCGGCTGCTTGAGCAGCAGTATCTTTCTGTCTTTGACCGGAGACGGAACGATGTCACCGTAAACTCTGCGAGCTTCTTCAGAGAACCACTCGAGGAAGGAGGCCGAGTACGCAATCTCACCCAGAGACTCACGCAACGGCTTACCCTGAAACACACACAGAGACACACACATTATTACTGATTGTATACATTTTTTATTCATGAAAAATAACAAGTAGAACAATAAAAGTACAAAATTACAAAAGTGTGAAGTGGTAGATTCTTGAAATACAAGAGTAAAAATCCCTCAAAGCTGTGAATAAACTGCATGTATCGTTATATTCTGCATCTATGCTCCAACTAATATAGATTATTCATACTGTTGATCCCATATATATACTGCATATATCTTATATAACTAATGAATGAATGCACTTTATTGTTATTATACAGTGTACAACGAGACAATACCATTTACACTGTTCATACAGTTCATACTATCACACTATTTACATTCTTATGCTCCTCATAGTACAATTTGTCTCTACCTGTAGATTTAGATCATCTATTTTAGATTTTATCCACTTCCATACATTCATATATTTGTGGGTTCATTCTGTTTATACTGTATTAAACATATTGTACAGTGCTTCCCATTTACTATCATACTATTGTGGCAAAACGGGACTAAACTGAGGGCCGCTGTGGGCTAAACTCAGGGTTAGGCTATCTGTCCGACGCGCATTCCAAGAAACCACTCCAAAGCACTTCAGTCAGTAGCGATAGTGTTTATTCCTTTCATCCAGCAGGTTCAACTCTATATCCAATCATAGAATAAAGCTATACTCACAGACTGCAAAATATAATACGCAGTCAACAGAAATTAAGACTACCGCCGGGCTCACCCCACTTCCTGATCCATTCGTCGAACAAAAACACAGTGAATCAGTAGGTGTACCTTTTGAAACCTTGACACACACACCCCACAGCAACACACCCACCACCCAGGTGCTGATGCTGCGTGTCACCTGTCACCTAATAAATGAATGTCTAATACTAATATGGCTCCTACACATACCCTCAGTCCAGGATGGAATTATGACTATATCCGGGCTATTCAAATAAGTGGGCTTCAAGATGACGGCAAGTTTGGGTGTGAAAACTAGCCTATGTACTGGACCAGCACGGTCTACATGGCCTATATCGGACATATTTAGCATGTATTTGGGAAATAAAGTATTAAAGGAAAGAAAACAAAACTTTTAAAAACTTTTATTAAATATTAAACTAGAAAACAAATGTGTGAACATATGAGACAATAAAGTTGACTTTAATCTGATCTTATTTAAGTACGAGACTAAATGTAGTGTGGTTTGGATAAACTGACTGTGCCGTTATCAGTGTGATACTCACACATTCGAAGGTGATCAGCTTGGCAAGATCGTCCTTGTGCAGAGTCAGCAGGTCGAACCACTTCCTGAGCAGGACGCTCCTCTCCTGCGGGACAGCCAATCACAGCACAGCATCAATCACACGCCCGGTAGCCATGTTTAATTCCCGTTTGACAGCCGAACAATTACAATCTGCAGCGGTTTAATGCTTCACTGACACTTACACAACATGCTGTACGACAAAAACAACTGATTAATCATTTAACGTGACCTAGAAAGACACACAAAACAACAGATTGCAAAACAGACAAGTGCAAAATTGTGAAGAGACATAAAACCACCAAAAAGAGACAAAAATGATAAAAAGACAAAATCACTGACACACAAAAACAACCACAGGGACACACAAAGCAACAGACACGACATGAAAAGACCAACACAAAGAGACACAAAAAAAAACAGAGACAAAACCAGACACACAAAACAACAAACAGATGCAAAGCAATAGACACAAAATAATGAAACAAGACACAAAACAACCACAAAGATGCAAAAATGATGACCAAATGATGGGCAGTTTTGTGTCTCCACAATTGTAATCAGTTGTTTTTGTCATACAGCCACGTAAAAATGAGCACAAAGAAGACACAAAATGACAAAAACAAACTAAATAACCTACTTATTAAGTGACATACAATGACAGCAAAGAGACACTAAAAATCAAGGTTCACAAAGACACGAAACAACCACAGATTCCTTTTAACATCTTGACCATAATGTTCAAACAGCACATTCTTTGAAAATAATCTGTTTAAATGTTAATTCTGTGTTTTACATCTCAGAGCTTTGTGTTGTTGTGTTTCGCTGGTTTGTATTTAATCTATACCTTTAGTAAAAGCAAACCAAAGCTGACAGAGCTAATGATCAAGTTTAATAACTGAGTGATGGAAAGGAAGCACTGCAATCACTGACTGCTCACTTACACTTCAACCTGAGTAATGTAAAGTTAAGGTCTCACGCAGAAACAAGCTTTACTCTGCTCTGATAGATCACTGATAATCAATAGACAATCAATCATGGTCAAAACACTCTTATAAAACCACTATATTAGCAATATTAGCCTCAGTTTGCTCACAGACAATGACACTCACTTTGTTAATGAGCTGCAGAGAAACATCTAACATAACTCTGTTTAAAGTTTCCATAATTTAAAATTGGACACCGTTACAGGCTAAAATGCACGTTTTCTGAAAGCAACCTGCACTTTTTTCTGAATCTTTAAGACACTCTCTTCACATCGGTGTATCTGATCAGCTAAAAATATGAAAGGGGTCGTTCATTTTTGAGAATATTTCCTAGGTTTCACCAGCTTCCGCACTAAAATCGTGCGGCGGCAACGGAGAGAAACAAAAATGAAAGTTTGAATTTTAGCAAAATTTTGTGTTTTCAGGTGAATTATGTTTGAGCCGATTTCAAGTCCTACTTCTGTCGGATGTAAAATGATTGCGTTACATTTGCTAGACTACGCCAATTAGCCGACAGCAAACATTTATTGTAAATTTGCGGTTTTTTTAGTGGAGTTCGGGTAACGAAAAAGGACAGTCTCATTTAAAGGTATACTGCTTCCATGAGTGTGTGTGCAGCTCCCAGCACTTTATTAGCAGGATTAGCCCCACTTTGCACACAGTCAAACTGCTAATGAGCTGCAGAGAAACGACTGCAGGTTACTGACGCAACACCGCCAAATTCCATCTAATTCTATAATTTAAAGTTGGACACCGTTACTGGTGTCCAACGTATACGTTTTCTAAATGCAAATTGCACTTTTTCTGACTCTTTTAGAAAGTCTCCTTACCTTACATCGGCATACACGATTAGCTCAAAATCTGCAAGAGGTCGTTATTTTTTGAGAACATTCCCTTGTTTATGAAGCTTCCGCACGACAAATCGATAGAAACAAAACTGAAAGTTTGAATTTTACTTTGATTTTGCCGTTTCAGGTCAATTATCTTTGAGCCGAATGAAAATTTGCCTCTTGTGAGATGTGAAACGATAGCATTACATTTGCTAGTATTCGTTAATAAGCCGAATGCAAACATTTATAGTAAATTCGCACTTTTTTTAAGCGGGGTTCTGCAGCCTACCTTGGCGGTGTACTGCTTCCAGGAGTGAAACGCTTTGTACGCAGCGTCCACCGCCTGCTTTGCCTCCGCGGGGCCACAGTCCGCCACCCGGGCTATCTCCTGCCCGGTGGCTGGGTCCAGCACGGGGAACACGGAGGCTGCGGAGACCCAGCGACCGTCCACGTAGCCCTGCGTCCGGAGCAGCGGAGCGGAGACGTCCAGGCTGTAGCTGCGGTGCATGGCGGCGGGCAGGCCGAGCAGCACCTGCCGGGGGAAGCAGCGGGATCTCAGCGCACAGACAGCGGACATACCGGCCAGATGTGTGCAGCTGAGTGTGTGTGCAGCTCACTGTGAGTCTGTGTCCGTGCAGGTGTGCAGCTGAAGCTCGGAGTGGCTCGTGCAGCCCTCCGTCGGTTCCAGCCGGTCCCCGTTAAACCACGTGACTCTGCACAAACACAAAACGAGAGCACTTCAGTGCCCTGCTCCGATGGTGCGTTCAAAGACTTTCGTTTTCTGGACTCTGAAGACAGAAGAAAAGCTCAAGACACGGTTGTGTAACACAAAGTCAGAATTATGAAATAGTACGTCATGACGTCGTTCATTAGGGTCCGAGCACGCTAGTGCAAGGACCCTATTGTAACCCTTGGGTTTCTTTTTCTTTCTTTTTTTTTCTTATTTTTCAGATCATTTAAACGCATTTTTGAGGCCGTAGACATGCCCCAAAACTCACCAAAATCGCCACACACACCAGGACTGGCGAAAAATGTGAAATTTTAAGGGATTTGGACATGTCTGTGCCAAAATGGCATCACAGCGTCACCTTGAAAATTTCGACGGCGTCCTGTTTAACCTCGACCAGGAGTCGCCAACCCGCGGCGACGGAGCCACATGAGGCTCTTTCGTACTTCTGCTGCGGCTCTTTGTGGCTTTGGAAAATAAATAATGAGTACCTAATTAAAATGTATTTTATTTTAGTTCGTTTGCTTTAAAAATGCAATTCTACATTTGAAGATTATGGTTATCTTGTAACATTAAAATAAAACGTTTAATGTTTACATTTTTTTTGTTGCTCAAATTATGCATCACACTCACCGATGCGCGACACCCACCGGCGCGTACAGTGTTACCAACTTGGTGACTTTCTAGCTCAATCTGGGGACTTTCCAAATCCTCTTGGCGACTTTTTTTTTTGTCAAAAGTGACTAGGGACAAATCTAGCGACTGCTTCTCGTGTTACTGGAGACTGTTCTGGTGTTTTGGAAACTCTGACGTGAAAACACGTGTCGGTCTGCAGGTCCTGTCCTCAGAGAGCAGCCGTGCTGCCGTGAGCTCCTCCCGTCCCAAAGCGCTCACAGTCGGTCAGGAGTCTGGTCCAGTGACGTGCGGTCAGGGGAGACATCATGGAAAGAAAAAAAATACATAATGATGAAATAACTTAAATGGTTATATTGATCCAATGATTTGTACTATAAAGTATTTATTTTTCATTTAGCCTCGTCAGTTTTGACGATTTTTAAATTCAAACTCGCTGAATTTTTGTAATTTCCCATTCAAATGCTTGGAAGAGAAGCCGGTGAGGCAGCGGTGTCCTGAGCCACACTTGGATTGCGCAATCCCTCACTGCGCAAACTGCCATGCATAGACTGTCACTGCAGGCAGCCAGTGAAGTGAGGGATTGCGCAATCCAAGTGAGGCAGCAGGCTAAGCCTCCCTACCTGCTGGCTGCCTGCAGTGACAGCGTGCTGCTGTCTGGATGTCGTCAATAACATGGTTGAAACACATTTAATATATGAACTGATGCTCCATAGTTCAGCTGATGTATATAATAATGAACAGTGTTTTTTGTTACCAACTGTATGTGTAACGTGTTTCGTGTGCTGAGCGATTTTAAACGGCTGAAAATAGGTTCCAGGTGAGGCAGGCAGTTCTCTGGCCTCATGGCAGGGGGCGCTCTGATCCCAGACATGCTTCTTGTGACTCTGTGGCTGCAGAGCAAGTGACAGCAAACTAGACTAGGTACAATATACAGTTAGCAAGTCAAGTGTAGCGAAGGAAGATAAGGAGACTTTTACAAAAAAGTAAGTTATTTTTGTCCAGAAGGAGCGGAGCATGGACTTCACTTAAAGGTAAAGGTAAGACCGCAATAACTTTAAAAAAAAAAAATAGAAACATATGTTTTGTGGGCTACAGCTTGTATGTGTAAAGAATGCAGATATGAAACATAACCTGTAAACTGCTGCCAATCAAATGGCAAATCTGCTGCTGTGTAGAGTGCATATGTTTGTAAATCAGATTCTGATGAAGTCGGTGCCTCACCAGCCATGAACCTCACCGCACGTCACTGGTCTGGTCAGCAGTCCAGCTACAGTCAGCAGGCCGACCACACGCTGTTCTACTTTGCTGCAGGTGGAACATTTAAGTTCGGCTTTTTATTTCATATAAACGAGGAGGACTCAAATAGACACTGACTATTTTATTTCAAAGTAACCTTCAAACCCAGCGTCTTTTTTTTTTTTCGGTGGTCAAAATGTTTTTGTTGCAGAAATAAAATGTCGTTTTCTCTGCAGTAGTTCATTGATTTCATAAATACAACACACTATAGTTTTTTGTACATAGCTGTTGGAGCTATTTGTTTGTTTTGTAATATTTTATCTTTAATATTTAGTTATTTATTTTCTGTAGTTTTCTTTGAGGAATGCACTTTGGTTTGTGGTGGTTGGTCTGAGTAGTTGTTGGTGCCTTTATTTTGACAGTTTTGGGTAGCTGGCGCACGGGCTGAATCGACATATATGCCCCAGGGTTCGATTTTAGGCCCAGTGCTTTTTAACCTGTATATGCTCCCCCTAGGCAGTGTCATCAGGAGACATGGAGTCAACTTTCACAGTTATGCTGATGATACACAGTTGTATATCTC